TTTGGCACCTAACAGGTGCACTGACGTACATCTACTCGCAGAGTTTTATGATGGCCAATGACAACAAATATAGGCAAAGAAAATGTGCTAAATGGCAATATTCCAAAGAAACAAAACCTCACTCTCTTTTTCCAATGACCCATTTTCAGACTATTAAAAAATGTGCCACCCAAATTACTCTTTGGCTTAAAAAGAAATTTATGAATCTCTCCTGAATCCTTGTTTTAATTCTTAATTAGGAAGCAATCAGTGCCTCCTTTTCAATAAACTCAGAGTCACATAATTAGATCATCCTGGAGGTAACTGAACTTCTAGAAAACAAGTGGGAGAAAGAGCAATAATTTATAGAAAAATCAGTAAATAAAATATAATTGGCTTTTGCCCTATCTAATGACCCTGGGCTAGATCTGTGTTTTAGTCAAGCTTTTGTTGCTTTTCACCTTTATTAACCACTTCTACCAGATAGAGGCTCTTTGGTAGGCTTTTAACACACGATGTCACATTTTATCCTCAGAACAATTCTAATTGGGTACGTACAATTATCATCACCATGTAACATGCAAATAAACTGAGGGACAACGAATTTAGTAACTTTTCCCAAATCATTCAACTAGTACACAGAACCCTAAAGAGGATTTGAGCCTCAGAAGTCTCCCTCCAGAAGCCTGCTCCCTTCTGTTCTGCCAAGCAATTCCTATGTTATCACATAATGGTCATCTTAGAAGGAAACATAAAAGAAAACCTCAACTTGAACCAAGAGAATTTTTTAAATTATTCTTCACTAATCAGTAACTCTAAAGTTCTAAACATAAGAAAAAGTGTTCTATCACTAATTACTTTTAGGTCCTAGAGACAATCAAGCACTCCCCAGTCTTTGAAAATCTCTTTGTTAGAGATAAGTCATATGCTTTGCAAGGTGGAAATCACTACCAAACTCTAATAATATTTTTAAAGTTTTTCTTTATTAAGTCAATACTGGTTTGGAGAAATCACACAAATGACGTTTTTTATGTTTATGGCTTAAGTTTACCTAACTGCATATTTTGGTCTATAAAACGTTTTTTCAAAAATATCCTTTTTCTCAAAAATACAAACTTAAATGATTCCCCAGAAGTGCCCCTTTGGGAAAATATAGTTAACTTAAAAAATTATTTAAATGGGGTTCAGAAAGGTAGGCCCTAACTGCAATACTATCTTTGAGCTTTCCCTTTTAAAAACTTTCTTTGAAGAAACTACCATATCTCTTTACTTAATTTTAATTACATAACAGCTAATGATGTGTGGCAGTTATTACTAGCCCATTAGTCAAATAAAAATGCAAGAATCAATTGATTTGGAGTAGTTTCCCTAGAATCACACAGTAGTGACAGAGTTAAGACTTCATTCTACATGTCTAAAATCCAGATTCTAGCTTTTTCACAGGCCTACCTAAGTCCTCACTTGTCATCTCTTTCAGAATAACATAATCCTATATCCATTCATCCTTTCTTTCATTTATTCTTTCACTCATTCTGTTATTGAACAATTATTTTTAAATGTCTGTGTTACAGACTGAATGTTTAAGCCACCCCCAAATCCTTATATTGGAACCCTAGACCCCAGTGTGACTAAATTTGGAGATAGGGCCTTTAAGAGGGAATTAAGGTTCAATGAGGTCATAAGGGTGAGGTTCTGATCCAATAGGATTAGTGTTCTTATAAGAAGAAAGGACGTCAGAGTGTGCTCACCACCACCGCCTTCTCTCTCTTTCTCTCTCTCTCTCTCTCTCTCTCTCTCTCTCTCTCTCTCTCTCCCCCCCCTCTCTCCCCTCTCTCTCTCCCTCTCCCTCTCTCTCTCTCTCTGTGTATGTAGGTGTGTGTGCATGTGCATGCACCTAGGAATAGCCATGTGAAGACATAGCGAGAAGGCAACATCTGCAAATCAGGAAAAGAATCAGCTGAAACTTTTACTTCACACTCTAGCCTCCTGAATTGTGAGAAAATAAATTTCCTGTTGTTTAAGCCCCCCAGTCTGTAGCATGTTGTTATAGCGGCCTGAGCCGACTAATCCAGTATGATTATTTCAGGTACTATACTTAGCATTAGACAACACCACAGGCAGCACAGATAGGACACAATCAAGACATTGCACTTAGTGGATACAACTATGCCAGCTCTCACAGAAATGTTGCTCTATTAGGGAAACTAGGCAAACAGTCTGGGTGCTGCACAATGCTTTAAGTTTTTTAGTATGGATTTACCTGATGCTATGGTGAGACAAAATGTAAGCAGTACTAAATTGTGACTAGAAAGATCAGGGATGATGTCGTGGAAGAAGAGAACTTGAGGAATGAATAGAAACTTGCTAAAGATGTGAAGGAAAAGGAGATTCCCTGGTAGGGAGACCAGTATGTGTGAAGAATGGAGGCTTGATAGAATATAGGAACTATAAATCAGACATGGTTGGTGTGGGAGAGAGTACAGTCAAAGATGATCCATTTTTTTGGCTTGAACAACTGAACAGATGGTAATGCAATTTACTAAACAGGAAATGCACAAGGAGGGGAACTTTGTAGGGAGAAAAGAGCAAGCATAGTACTAGAGATAGGAATGACTTGTTCAGTTATGATAGGCTGGGTTTCTCTCAAGGAAATATTTAGTACAGAATCTGATGCATAGTACGTATTCAATAACTGCTTAATCTGGGTTTCCTCTGTTCATGTTTATTTACTTTGGCCTAAGAGGTTAATTTCTCCTTCAATTAATCATTTTTTAACATGGAGTATCAGAAAAGAAGCCACACCAGTTAATCACAACTATTTGTCCAACCAAACAGGAGGGAAATCAGCTACAGTTGAGGGCAAATATGACATGAGAACAATTTAAAAGAGCACACGCGAGTAGGTCTGATGCCTTTGTGCAAATGCCTTTGTTGATCATGATTGGATTAGGTATTAACCATGGTAAGATTTTTTTTAAAAAACAAAATACTAAAGTCAAGAACTCAACTGTTCCTCCGTGGATAACAAGTTTGCCAAAATCACACCCCAAAAAAAGCTCTTTCTCTGGTTTTGTTCACAATACATCTAGAGCAGATAGTCTACACTCTCAGAAGCGAGAGACCATTAAAATGGCGAAGAAAACCACCGAATTGACCATCAACTGAATTCTTGAAGGAGAGAGAGGAAATGGGTGATCTTTAGCCAAAGAGTCATGAACTATTTGTAAAGTTATCTTGAATTCCAAGCAATAAAACAACTCAGTTTTGACATAACGAAAAGAATTACTTTACACTCCTCAAGGTAAGTATTTGCCCATGTATATATTGAAGACATTTTACTCCAAGGAGAAAAAAATTAATTATTTTTTAATTTCCTCTAAATATAGAACTATCCCCAGGTTCATCCCCGAATCCTCAGGTATACTGTTTAAAAAGGCACAGATTTGCATTTACCAACCCTGAAATTGCAAAATGATTTCATTATTAAGTCTTGGTTTATTCCAAGCCTTCTGGATAATCTCGAACAGTACTGCACTTGTTGTTTAACTCTAGAGATTTTGTAATAAAAGTTTAATGAGTTACTTATTAGTAGAATGTTTATAGCCATTATTTTAAGGTGAACAATAATGACGTAAAGTTTGTACGCATTTGGCTTAAAACGTATTCAACTCACATATCAGTTAATGCTACAGTGATTTGTTAACAATCTCTTATCAATGTACATGTCTAGAGGCAATGTAGCTAAACCACAACTTTACCAAAGCTGTGGCTAAGAACAAAACTAAGGAAGGATTTCTCATTTGTAATTATGTGAAATCCAGATCTTAACTTTTAGCATTTCAGAATTTGAACAAGAATTGTTTTTATTATGGCATTTTGAGCAGATTTCATAAGGGGACACATATAAAGCAAAGGGACAAAAAATTGAAATTAAGTCCTGAAGGCACTGCATACTTATTTCTATTTAAAAAGCTAACCAGATATTCTATTAATGATCATAAATATTAAAAGACCATACCAAAATAAATCTATCCAATTTCCATCTAACTGAAATACTGTGAAACCAAAGGTCAATCACATCTCCAAAAAACACTTTCTTGCCCATGTAGAAATTTCCTACAAGTTTTTCAGATATAGGTCAGATATTCCAGGAACTATGACGCTGTGATTTAACCACAAAAGTTTTTAAGGCATAAAAATAAATGAGAAATATATATATACACTGAATTTGTACAAAAATTATAAACTCAAAAGAATGACATAGTTACCTGTCCTTAATGAAAGAAAATTTATTTAGATTTTGTAATCAGACCATAACTTCCCACTCTTACAAATTTACAGATGGGTTCTATAGAAAGAATGACTGAAACTAGCAACTGATTTTCATATTGTTTTTTGCTGCCATTTTTATACATGAATTACTCATTAAATCAATTTGAATATAATCATCACAGGATTCAGTACAGTACACACATTCTGGAAGCATATAGAATCAAAGCAGGGTTATCATAAGAGGGGTAAAATATATTAGAACACAGAGCAAAATAAACACATAGAATGAAAGTAAAACCAAATTAACTCAAAGCCACAAAATGGAGAAGACAAATCTTCCAAGCCCCCAATCTTCCAAGCCCCCTTCCCAAAAAGGAAAAGATAAAATACAGTGAACATGTCATATGACGACTTTCGTTTGCTTATGCCACATACCGTAGGGATGGCCACGTTCAATGTTTCCAAACACTAATTTAAAAACTATATTTCTATCCTTTAGTATGTTTTCAAGATACTATCCTTTGATCATTCAAGGAACCAGTTGAGTTCCTTTCTATCATGCCATATCTTTAAGCAATACTTTGTTTCTATCAAGCAGTGAAATTGTAAGGGAGGTTCATCCTTAAAAGTCTATTTGAAGACATTTTGCAACAAATGGAATTTGCTTATTTTATGGACATTTAAAAAAGTAATCTCTTCTTTACACATCTTAATATATATAAATGTGTTAACTCAAAATATATTCTTACCTCCCATCCATAACTGGGGTCTTTCAGGTTTGACCTCTGTTCTCCTACATAAGGCCCAAACTTTTCACCTGCTTCAATTTTCCTTTTGGTCCATATTCCAAGGCCTGCTCCAGGCATATTTGACTCTCGCAGTTCAAACTCAGCAGGACCCTCCTTCGGAGTGAATGCTTCGCTGGATGTAGCTGGAGAGCATGGCTCTTGAATATTGAGGGAGAGAGTGCTGGCTACTCCATCTGCATCTGGCATTTCTTCCAAAGGAATTTCAGGGTAGCTGCCATACACACACTCATTACCTGTGAACAAATAAAAAGTTCATAAATTCCTACTAATATAGAAGAGACAGAATTCCACATCTCAATCTTCACCTTATAAAGTTGTTGCTTTTTAAAGACAAAATAGGAAAGACCAGTGTTAAAATATGCCTGCATTAAAATCTGTTATTCACAGATGAAGGAGGGGGGAGGGATTATTGCCTCTTTGGTTTATCTGTGTTGAATCCATAAATCAAATGAGCTAATCTTTAACTGCCAGTTCTCTCATGGACCAGCTCAACCTATTATGCAGTTGGGAAACAATCAGCAATTTAAATATTATTATGAACAAAGTAGAGATAAGAAGTAAACATATGTGTACCTACAATCCTGCAAACCATCCCAAATTGGGAGCTAATAGCGTTATACAATGTCTTGGAAAGTTATATCATGCAATGATATCTTGGACTAAATTGTAGGAGAGTCATGAAAGATTCCAAAGGCTTCCATGTGCAACAAGGCTTAAATTTATATGGCAGGATTATTTATTGGAATATTAATTTATGTTTGTTCTTTATTTTTCCTTTCTCATTTCAAACACGTCGTCAAGCCCTTGGTATTTCCTTGCCTCAGTAACTTACACAGTACAGAGAGTTAAAGTTACTGGAGGCTAGTGATTCCTCTGGACATTTGTAAAAGCTAAAATCATTGAAGAAATTAGGTGAGTTTTCCAGAGGAAAAAAAGAGAAGACAGTGTCTTGGGGTGCACCAAAAAGACAATGAATTTCCTCCAGACTGCGAAGTGGTAGAGATCAGAGGGCCTCTGCGTGGAGCAATGCCCTGGGGGAGGTGGCAAGACCATCTTCGAGGGAAGAGCAGGGTAGAGTAACTAGCAGTCTGGACACTCAACACTGGAGTTCTAAGGTATCCCCAGAGCAGCACAGCACCACACCTGTAGTAAATGATCACACCGTATCAGCCTTAAGATCTTTATGCAACACGGGGGTGGGAGGAAGCATAAAGAATAATGACTGAGCTTGAATCTCCCACCAGTTGAAGGAGATTTCAGTTATCTTAAAGCAAATAAACATGTTTCCACTAGGATTCCACTAGGATTATTCCACTAGGATTATGGACTGAGAGCCATACCTAATTTGTTCAATTTGTAGACCTTCAAGGGAGGGAAGCAAGAAAAATGGGTTAAAATTACAAGAAGACAGATTTCAATCAGACCCATCCAAAGGTGAATGGATTACCTTAAGTTCCCCAGCACAGGGGCTCTAATATAGCCTAGATAGCCATGAATTAATGATGATATGGAGAAACTGTAGCTTTAGGTTGATGAACTAGATGACCCTTAAGATCCTACCAACCCTACAGTTCTATGAATTATTAAAATCTTCCAAGACAGTTTATTGAGCTAGAGGGTAGAAAACCTGAGTTCTATCCCTAATTCCTTCTCTGATTCGCTATGGAAATTAATTAACTATAAAACCTATTAACAATTATCCATCAAGTACTGACTTCTCTTAAAGTTTTGTGAAGTGCAAAGTGATTGTACATGCAAAAGTATCTTTCTAATGAGGTGCTTGGTTCTTGATTCAAACAATGAGGTAATGCCATTTAAACCAAGCACAGAACCAAATCAGGACCCAAACTTATTCCTATGAGACATTTGATCTCAACATAACAAGCTCATTATCATTCAAGTTCAGCATATACAAAATCTTGCACATTATCATCTAGTCTCAAATCGAGTCTCCTGCCCACTTCCCCATTTCCATTAAAAATAATATTTCCCCCAAATATCCATGTTCAAGGTTCTAAAATAACATAGATATTTTCTCTCCTTCATCCTCAGTCTATTCAGTCATTAAATGCTGTCCATTCTTCTTGCAAGATTTGTACCTTCATCCCATTCTTTCAACCCATGTTTTCATTCCTGAATTTTCTAACAGTCCTCTAACTGGATCTTCAGACCGCCAACCTCTTTCCAGTATCCCTCAACACTGAGCCTGTACAATGCTGCTGAATTTATTTTCCTGGCATATCAACATTCCTGTGCAATAGCCTCTAATGATTCCTAATGTTCACAAGTAAAATCTAGAGTTCTTAGGCTTGGAATAGAATCTCTTTCATTTTGAAAGCAATCTTCTTTCTCTCTTAATCTCAACACTCCTCAGTAGGAGCCCCCAGGCCAGAATAAGCTTATCCCTGACTTCTGAGCTCAGTGGTTCTTCCTGCCAGGCTACCCTATCTCAGTCCCTTTGCCCATCCAACTTCTAGTCATTCTCTATGTCAACTCCCAACTTATCTCCTTGCCATCCCATTTAGCATAAGTATCCCCCTTCTTTGAATTCTCACATAATTTCCTCCCTCAATCTGATGATCAAATAATTCTGCCTATTGTTACCTAAAGTTTAATATGAATAATTCTTTTATTCCAAACTAGGAAATAGACCCTTAAAGGGAAAACTCAAAACTCACACTTCTTAGGAATTCTCCAAGTGATCCTCATAAAGGTGCTCAAAAAATACTTGTTACATAGATAATCAACCTAACGTATAATTTTATTGAACTACTAAACCAACCCAATATTTTTCTACCAAATATAGGAAATTATTTTGATCCTGAAAAGCATCTTTAAACCCGTAGAAATGGAACACTATGGATTACAAACTTTTCTCCAAGCCCAACATCTAAAGAAACTATTTCAATAATGCCCCAAAGAAATACTATCAGAGAAATATACTTCAGGGTCCAAACACCTTTGATTAAGTCTATCTAATTTTATTCTTCAGGGAGATTTTTCATTTCAACCTAAGAGCCAAAAGTTCACTAGCACTCTTGATACAGCTAAAAACATATAAAAAAAATCTCTCTAGAGTTGTAACATTTAACTACTGCAAACGCAGAGTTACTTTACAGATTCTTAAAGGGATTTATCACTCACTGTGAAGATTTTGGTTTTTTTGAGAAGTGCTAAAAATTGGAAGACATTGTGTAATCTATAGACTTATCCATTTAAGCAGCAGGAAACAAAAATGCTTCCAAATGAATAGAACTATTTCCTCCAGTAATTATCCATTAAAGTTCAGTAAAATCTCCCCTGTTGCCTCAAAGGGTTAAATTAGTCATACTGTCAGTTCCATCAGAGTGATCCCAAATCTTAAAAAAGGATAGAGACAAAGCCATCTGGGCCCTCCCCCTGACATAGCTGACCCCATGCCTTTGAGTTACCCACAAACTTTCCCGATGCATCATTTCTAAACTAGTGAGTTTGGAGTTTAATTCCTGTGGTGACAAAATACACGTGTGCCCAGGCTGCTGCACAGAAGAATTTGAATTTAAAACCTGAATGCAATTCTGCTTACAACAGCAAAAAAATCCAATTAGACCTAAAGAACAACTTATATAGGTCAAGCAAATCCAGGAGAAAGACTTACGGTCCTATTCATCCATATGCAGGCGTTAAATGTATATGCAAACTCAGGCAATTTGTTTTCAAGCCACTGTTAATCTAGTATCATCTGAATTAAATATAAAAAGGGCTGTGGTAACAAAAAATGGAAATATAAAACTGCTGAGTTTTACGTATCAAAACATGCAACAATATTTCAACATAATCTAGCATTATGAAATTTTCAACAGCAAATGCAGTTTATCATACTGCATTGAATATTTGCATAAACCAAAGTAAACTACTGTCTCCATGTACATTACTCAAGAACTATCCAAAAAGCTGCTAAAACATTTCATCTAAATGACAAACTATCTCAATTATCATATCTCCATTAAATCTCTGTTGTTGAGGAAAAATTGGTAGATCTTTTCCCTGAGCTGTAACTACAGTTAATTAAAGCATTGCTCAGATACCATATTGACAGATTGGGCACATTTACAACAGGTGAGTAGCAGGTAAGACGTGCTATATACATCAGTGCTCCCATAAAGATAAATAACCCGTGTAACTTCTTGGATCTGAACCGCCTGCTACTGGAATTTGCTTCTTGCATCCTTTAGGTGTGTCATTAACTGAATGAGGACAGAAGGACAAGCTTATTGTTCAGTTTGAGGCAAATGACTTGGGAAATGCTCTTGGAAATCAAACTCTTCAATTCAACTTTTAGGTGTTCTGATATCCCTGGAAACCAAGAAAGCGGCCACACTTGTATTAGACTATATTTATTTCTATGACTCTGAATAACTACCATAAGGTTTCCACTTGAAGAGATGCATTTTGAAAACGTATCAGAATCTGCAAAGAGGAAAGTGCAGAAATAATACTGATAATAATAACTTCTACAGATGTATCTATGTTTTCTCACAATCCAATGAGAAAACTGTGTTGAGAAGGATAACCTTCCATTTTGCAAATGTGTAACCTGATACTCAAGGACGCTAATCGGTATATCCAAAGTCAGCTGAGACTAGAACCCAAGTGTTTAAATCCACTCCTCCCTTTAACTCTTAGGCAACTTGCTTTTTTTCTTTAAAGATATGTTTTAAAGTTTTTTTTTTCAAAACTGTGGCCCTACCATGTGAATAGTTTATTTTTTCACCTTTTCACTTGATATATGAACACTTTCTTACGGTTTTAAAAATATTAAACTATATTTAATTGCTGCATAATATTCCATAATATAAATCCATAATAAGTGAACTATTTGCATAGTATTTATTTATGTTGCTTCTAATTTTCTGATATCATAAATACCACTGAAATGAACGTTCTTTCATATAAATATTTATTTTCATCTATTTTAATTTCCCTAGGTTAGATTCCTGTAAGAAAGCTTAGTGAGTATTGACAGATTGCTTATCAGAGGTGTATACCAACTTATACTTCTAGCAACTATACTGGCATTTATTATTATGTCTTGTTTTTAAATTTTATTAATACAATGGAAAAGACTGTATATCTATTGTTGCTTTAATTCACATCTCAATGATTACTAGGACTAAATATTTTTGTCATTCCTATTTCTCCTTTTGCAAGTTATTCATTGTTTCTATGCAGCTTTAATTGGGCTT